ACAAGTTCCTAAAAGGAAATGTCAGGTTTGTACATTTTTAAATACGCTCCTGCAAAATCCTTCAACAATTAAAAAATATGGGCATTAATTCCAAATTATAAGTGAACAAATTTAACTTTCCATTAAATTCTCTCGTGTGCGTGTGTTGGCCCAAAAAACCTTTGGTGAGGATTGGAGGTATAGCTCAGAGGTAGGGGGCTTGTGAGCATGTGTGAGGCCCTGGGATCAATTTCCAGCATCAAAAAAAGAATAAAACAAAACAAACAAAACACACACACACAACTTCAGTGGCTCCTACTACTTGTGGAATAGCAACCACAAAATGATTAAACAAGTAGCAATGCTATGTAGAGATACATGTGCTTGTACATATGATTTGATATGTACAGAACCCAGTGATACAAATCACCTAGCATGTGCGGGGGGGCCCTGGGTTCAATCCTCAGCACCACATTATACTTTGTAATTAAACACACACACATGTTGTGTACTTAATGTGCTAAGTTGAAAAACAGAAGGGAATATTTCAACATCTTACAGTATGCCTCAAAGAACACTAAGACTTCCTCCAAGGGTCCTCAAATCCAGTATTTAGGAAAATATACCATGTGAGTATATTTTTACAGATGATCCTAGGAGCCTGTCTAGTGGTATCCACCACAGCTAACAGAGAGCTAAAAGGAGGTAAATTGTGGTCTTCCTACTGGACCAGCATGGGCTCAAAGCAACCACAGTATCTTGGGTCATCTTGGTCTCTTTCTGGACCTCTGAGAACCTTACAATCAATTTGTGCAATTGAGGGCAAATATATTCTCTTTTCTACTGGCTTCATTCATACACATTTTCACAAAAATAAGATTATGATGCTAGACCTTCCTCTTTTTTATCTATGTGGTCAACACATTTCAATTTAAAAGCCTATAGCATGTAAACCATGGTTGACATGAAAAATACCCAGTAGGGTCTCAAGGTCACCCTTGTATATACTCTGCCCATCAACCTCTGTTAATGAGGTAAGGAGGTAGGGGTGGGTCCAGGCTGAATGTAGTAGATGACCTTGCTCTCATCATTTAGGTAATATCTCCTGGGCACATGTTACCAAGGTGGATCTTCAAGTATGAGCAGCTTCTTTTTAATGTTAAAACTTTCTCAGACCCGTCCCTCTCTCCCTGCCACATGCCAGTGGTTGCACTTTTAATAAGACATTTACAATGTCAAAACCTTAAAATGAATTCAGTTACACACCTAACAATTTACACTTTATAAGTCATGGCCTTTAAGAGCATTTAAAGTAATTGTGCATTTGTGAGACATCATTTAGCCTGCAGAAAATGCTTAGAACAACATAAATTCCTTGACTCCCTTGTGAGTAAAATGCATATGAGTGAAGTCAGACTGTGCCATATTTGCACACATGGGCAGCCTAGTGCTGTCCCTGTGTGGGCACAGAAAGACTCTGCTTTTGGCTGCATGGATGCTCACTGATCCTCAGGATTCAGGAGCCCCAAAACACAAAGTCAACTTGACAAATGGTCACTATAGTATTATTCTCCTCTACACACACTTACCTATAGGGGATACACTTTAAGACCCCAGGTGAATGTCTGAAACTGCAGATAGTATTGAATTCTGTGTATTTGATAGCTCCAACATCAGAAGCTAAAAGGAGGGTAACATATAAGTGACTAACAGGAGGGTAGCATATATAGCATAGGTATGCTGGACAAAACGATGACTCAGCAAAGTGGAACTGTGTGAGGTTTTATCACCTCAGTACATCATACAATTTAAAACACAAAGAGTTTATTTCTGGAATTCTCCATTCAGTGTTTTTGGACCATGCTGGGCACAAGTAAGGAGACCATAGAAAATAAAATAATGAACAAGAGGGGACTACTTTATAAGGAGATGCCAAAAAAAGTTGCTAAGCAGTGCTAAAAGAAATGACTCTTGGGTAGAAACAGCAATAAAGAAACTCAGGAGAGAGAGAGACTGAGATAGATACAGAGATACAGATAGAGATAGAGAACACACACTACAATTATTGTGCCCAAACTTCCAACCCTGTGTAGTGACCAAAATATGGAATAAACGAGAATTGACGGAGGACAATGCACCTCAGAAATCACAGCTTCCTTCTGAGTCTCTTCAAGTTAAGAATAAGAAATGAAAACTAGGGCTGGGGCTGGGGTTCAGCGGTAGAGCGCTCACCTAGCATGTGCGGGGCCCTGGGTTCAATCCTCAGCACCACATCAAAATAAAATAAAGATATTGTGCCCATCTACAACTAAAACATAAAATATTTTTTAAAAAAAAGAAACAAAAACAGAACTGTTAACATGTAAAAAGAAGTAATCTGAGTCAACATATGTGAATATCAATGCACACTTCTGAGGCTACTCAGCCACTGGCCATTAGTCCAGGAAATGTCATAAAACTGGTTCTTACTGTCATCTGAGTTTGAATCATTCTTTGGACAGGTTCCTAGTACTTAGCAGCTGGAGAGTGTGATATACTCATGAAAAACACCCATCTTCAGAGTATTGGGGGGGGGGGGGTTAATAACAATAGCCACAGCCACAAATACTTATGGAGCAAGCAATACTTGCCAGGCACTATTCTAAGCAAGTATACATTTTAACAACAAATCACCACCACTAGATACAATTATCATCTCCCTTTGTACAGAAAAGGAAAGGCATAGAAACGCTGCCCAATATCTGGTAGGCAGCAAGTAGCAAAACTTGGCTCCAGAATTCTTAGTCTCACCTACAATGCTAGGCATCTCATTGATTAAAAAATAATGTAAAAGCCTTCAGAGATAAAAACCTTTTCATTTGACTCTATACACTTCATAGTATTTCTAAGATAAATCTATATACCTTTTCATAACCATAATCTTTCTGATTTCCCTGCTGGAGCAAAATGGACCATCACCATAAAAGCCCAAACACAGTTATACAGCCTAGACTCAGTGGTACTTTTCTGCTTGGGGAAAAGTAAGAGAAACCTCTCCTTAGATCTTGGAGTAGGGCTCAACCAAAACGTGCAGATGTCCATGAGCCTGGTACCCTTGTACCAAAGCCCCACCATGCATGGTGGTTACCCTTGAGCTTCAGTTTAATTTAATGTACCAAGCCCAAGTCAAACACATGTGCATGTAGCATCTACTGAGGACAAGGCACTACATTATGTTCAGAGAAGGAGAAATGAAACTCAGGAAATAGTGACGTTAAAAATCACTACTAAAATAAAAAGTAATTTGAAGATCTAAGTAGAAGGGATTGAAACACAAAATTGAGGGGAGGAAAAAGAAGAGACATATTCTGAGGTTTCTCTTCCAGGGATGAGTCCTGGAAGGTTAAATCACAGCTCATAGAACTCTCATACTTTGCAGGTAGGAATGCAAAATAGTAAAACCCCTTTGCAAAACAGTGTGGCAGATGATTCTTGTTTAAAAATAAAGTTAAAATATACTTAACATATTAACCAGCCACTCACCTCTAGATATTTACCCCATAAAAAATGAAAATTTGTTTCCATATTCCTGTATGTAAATGTATAAGGAGTTTTATTCATGATTCCCTAATAAAATGCAACAACTCCAAAGTCCTTTAACTGGTGAGTGGATAAACAAACTCTGTATCCACACAATGAAATACTAAACAGCAATACCTAATGTTAACATACGGCCAAATGGACGAATAGCACATGCATTATGCTAAGAGATAGACACCAAGCTTGAAAATCTATGAAGTGTATGATTCCATTTGTACAACATTCTGGAAAAGGCAAAACTATAAGGGCAGAAAAGAACAGTGGCTGCCAGGGGCTCAGGCTAAGTGGAGGGATTGATTGCCAAGGCCACAGGGAAATTTCTAGGATGATGGATACTCGTATCTTGATCACAGTGGTGTTACACCACTGTATGCACTTATCAAATCATAGCTGTACACGAAAATGGGTGAATTTTCCTATATGCAAATTACACATCAGTAACTCTGACCTTTTAAAAAAGCATCTCAGCAATCAAACCAACAGGATTATCTCATGGATGGGGGCTATTACCTTCTACAAGGTTCAACAAACCATGTACCTAACTTCCTTTATTAATTTCTACCCCCAATTTCTTCACACACTGCATTTATAGTAAGAGTATAATCTCTGTGTGATTAGTGAATAATTTTGCTCTATGTGTGTTTTAGTCAGCTTTTTCGCTGTTGTAACCAAAGGATTTGACAAGAACAATTTTAGAGCTGGAAAAGTTTATTTGGGGCTCATGGTTTCAAAGGTCTCAGTCCACAGATGGCCAACTTCATTGCTCCTGTGCCCAAGAAAAGGCTGAACATCATGGTCGAAGAGTGTAGCAGAGGAAAGTAGTTTAGAACATGACAATCAGAAAGCAGAGAGAGACTCCTCCACTCACCCGAGACAAAATATAATACCCTAAAGGCTCAACGTCAGTGACCCATCTGCAGTTACCACCCAGTTAATTGACTCAAGTGGATTAATGTACTGATTAGGTGAAGGCTCTCATAACCCAATCATTTCACCTCTGAACTTTCTTGCATAGTCTCACACATGAGCTTTTGGGGGACACCTAATATCTAAATCATAACAATATGCTCCTACCATGACATTCCTCCACACACCCAAAGTGAAGAGGCCAACTGATTACAGACTGAAACTTCCAAAATTGTGAGCCAAAATAAACCATTTATCTTTATAAGTTTATTTTCTCAGGTATTTGTTACAGTGATGGAAAGCTGAATAACATACTCCATTAGTGAACCTTCCAGGAAACAAAGATTTCCAGCAAAGTTAATAAAAGTTACAAAGCTTATAGAATATACCAGAGTATTTTGAAATCCTATTTAACCTTTGCTAAAACAAAAGAATGTCAACAAAATGGCAGAGTATGACTATTCTTTACTATATTTCCATTATTAATTAATTATTGGGAAGGAGAAGTCAAATTATAAGAATCTTAATTGACTTACTTGTTAAAATCTTTTAGGCAAACCCTGACAAAATCCATTCGAAGCATTCATCTGCTTTACAGATTATTTTCTTCAGTTGCCCTAAGATTGGTATACTGAAAAAGCTCTTTTGAGTTTTTTGAAGTTGCAGCTTACCTAGAGAGAAGCCAGAAATAATATACAAATTCACAAGCACATCAAGTTTGATTCCTGTAAGTTGGAGAGAGGTGCCGTTGCAGGAGAGCCAGCAAGGCCCAGCTTCCACATAGTGGGATGTTGTACACATCCCAAAATCACATCTGTTTTGTCCAAGACAAGATTTGTGCCCAGTATTCAAAACACAAGGAAAAGTTTAAGTTGTTTTGATTGGAATAACTGTAGCCTGCTAACATGCGCTTCTTCCAGGAAGCTATCGACTTCCATCTTTTCCTCCCTCTTTCCCCCAATTCAACCTTAAGAGCAACAGCAGAATCCAATGGGAAACCAGATCAAAACACACCTCAGAACACCAGGTCCAGGGACCTCCAGAGACAACAGGCCCAACATCAATTTTCATCTTTTCCTAGTGCACAGGAATGTTTCAATCCAGTTGGAACCATCCAAACTTGAAACCAACTTATAAACTTCATCTGCTTTTCATTTCTTAAAAGTTTTACTTAAAAGAATTGGTTCCCCAAAGTAATCTTAACTCATCCACCTCTCCATTACCAGCCAAGAGAGAAATCCTCTAGTCACTTAGGGCCAGTATAGGTGACTTAAATGGCTTCCCAGTATTTCCTTTTAGCTACTTTTTTGAAGCTCTTTAGTGATTTTCTACTTTTCCTATCATACCATAACTTAGTATATTTACTCTTGGAATGATCTGCCCTTAAACAATTTCACTCTTCTGTACTGAAGGATTCTTACTCAACTCTGAATTCAGTAACTTTTCCCACAGTATCAAGTATTAAAAGCAGATTTTTCTGGCTTGTTGTTTAAGGTGTCAAGACATATTCTTTTTTTCTTATCTGGACTTGGGACTGCCCTTCACATAGCCCCTTCTTGTACACTAACCAGCTGTTTCTGCCTTCCACAAGACAGCCAGATCAAGGCTTAATACTCTAGCCTTCTGCTGGGTCATCTATCCATATATTTACCTTATTTCTTCCCAACGGTCCCAGACATATCATCCCTATTCTTATTTTTCAAAAACCTCAGAGTTAAAACACACATACCCCCGCAATGTCAAACCCTCTGCCAAGACTAGATTACTGTGGTTTTCTTCTTGGACTCCATTATAATGACCTAAAGATGTATTATATCTAGATTCTTAGAGGTCTGTTAAATATTAATCATGATGATGTGAAATGCTGGGAAATTGGGTCATTCTGAATTTCCATTATTAATCCAGTCTGCTATATCATTTCTCTGTGAGGTTCTAGAATACAGTCTTAAACAGACACTGATTAAAACTCTCAGTTGTCAACGACTCATTTGAGAAGCCAATGAAACCTATAGGTTCCCTCTTGAGAAAATTTTAAAACAAAATAGTATCCATCTATAATTGCTATTCTAGAACAGGGGCCAGCAAACTGCATCCCATGCGCAGATCTAGCCCTCTGCCAACCTTTGTCAATAAAGTTTTACTGGAACATAGCCATGCTTGTTCATTTCCATATTACCTATGGCTTTTTTCATGCTACCATGGAAGAGCTGAATGGCTGTGACAGGGACTATATGACCCTCAAACATGGAAACACTTAAAATTCTGGCCCTTTACAGAAAAGCTTTAACAACTGCTCTAGAGCTTTAAAGCCAAAGACATCTATGACAATGATTATAAAAATTCCACCCCGTGTAGTTTTGCACAGTTATTTAATTAGAATATTATTTTCCACAGGGTACATTTAATTAACAATTACCCACAAAAGAGTTTAGCCCAGTGCTTGGTATTCACAGTTAACACTGGCTATTCCACATTCTCATTATCTACTTGCTTGTGTGTCTTCCCATCTAAAATGTGGCTTCCTCTAGGGTAAATGCCAATCTTATTTACCTTTTCCCCCCAGGGCCTGGCACATACCACAGTGTTGGTAAAGACTGTTTCAGAGAATAAATGAGTGAAGAAATACATCAACACTAGAAATATCTTAATTCTAAAAGGTGTCACACAAACAACATTAATAATATATTTAATAAATAATATCAGGATTTTCCAAACTGAGTTTCACACATAATAAACACATTTTTTTCCATTGGTTAAAGGTCCCATTTTGCTATATGTCATAGCAGTTGTCTTGAACAAGCTAAGAACAGGTTAACACATGTAGACACTAAGAAGTTCCTAGGTCTTAAGGAAGTACAGGTTGTGTATCCCTTATCCAAATGTCTTGAGACTATTTTAGATTTCAGATTGGATTTGGAATATATATATACACGAGATATACTGAGAATTGGACTCAAGTCTAAACACAACATTCATTTATATTTCATGTACACTTTACACACATGGCTTGAAGATAATTTTACACAAATTTTTAGTGTGCTTATATTTTCACTTTGACCTATCTCCTGAGGTCAGATGGGGAATTTTCCACATGCAGTATCAAGGTGGTACTTAAAAAGTTTCAGATTTTGGAGTATTTGAAATATTAATTTTCAGATTAGGGTTATTTAATCTGCAAAAATTATTTTTGTTTCAAGCCACCTTAAATTCTCTAACCAAACCTCTCACTTTTGAATGAAAATGCAAAGTGTGATATTCTGTGTGTACAAGAGCCTGAGTTGAACATTTCTAATAATAGTGATACACTTAAGCATAAATTAGTTTCTCTGAAAAAACAATTGCTTTGTTTTTTCATAAATTTGGCTAAAGAGAGATTCATGTGCTCAAACATAAACAAGTCAGGTACTGATCTAAGCAGTGAGGAACCAACAGTGAAGAAATCAAGTTCCTTTTACGATGCTAGTAAAATAAATTAGCTTAAAAAATCTCAAAATTAATTCTGACAAGATTCTTCTTGGTGTTATTTGTTCCAAAGAATTTTCCATATTGTATTACATGAATAACTAAGAGGGTTTCATATTTCCAAAAATGGAGACAGGTTTCCACATTGGATTGTTTACTATAACTTGCTGTAACAAATTACTACACATATGTTGGCTTAAAATAACACATATTTATTATTTTATAGTTCTGGAAGTTACAAGTCTGCAATGGGTCTCATTAGGCTAAAAATGAAGGTATTGGCAAGGCCACATTCCTTCTGGACCTCTAGGGGAGAATCCATTTTCTTGCCTTTTCCAGCTTCTGCGGGTAGGGAGGTGCGGGATTTAGGGGGGTCCTGCATTCCTTGGCTCATGGCCCCTTCCTGTATATTCAAGGCAGCAATGGCAATGGAGATTGTCATCACATGTCATCTTGACTCCGAGGAGGAGGACAGTCTGGTGATCACATTGATGCCACTTGGAGAACATAGCATGCTCTTCCCCATCTCAAACACAACTGGTCCACAACTTTAATTCCTAATTTCCATGCAATCCAACATATTCACTTTTTATGGACTAGGCCATGGATGTCTTTCATGAGAGTGTGGAGAGAGAAGATTCTCCCTACCACATATATCTTTGTAGCAATCAGGCCCATAAGCCCAGGTCACATACCTGATCCCAATGGGAAACTTAAAACAGCAAGATCTCTAGAAAGCAGTCCCCCCACCTGCTAGGATTTACTCCTACCCAGAGCAGTCCCCCTGCACTTCAAAGAGCACACACCTCTGCTCTGCTTCCAATTCCACCACAGCAAGTTGCTACTTCCAGCTCATCAAGCCATGGTATCTCCTTGTCCTCAACTCTTTTAAATCATAATGATTTTTTCTCCTAGTCATACACCGTATAAATGGAAAACCCAATCCCTTTCCTCCATTCTCCTATTCTGGTAAGGGATGTAACCCCCCTTCCCCAAGTGATACACAAAAAGATGTGCTCATTGTAGTAAAGGTATAGTTATTTATGTTTTGCTGTTTGGTCTGTATTACCTAACCATACATTTATTCATTCATTCTTCTATTTTTAAGTTCAAAGGATAGTGTGTGTGTGTGTGTGTGTGTGTGTGTGTGTGTGTGTGCATATGATACAAACTCCTTGAGAGCAAAGACTTTTTTCCCTCTTTTGGTGCTGAGGACTGCACCCAGGACCTCATGTATGCTGAACATATGCTTTACCACTGAGCTACATCAAAAGCCCCCAGAAGAAAGACTGTTTAACTTGATAAACACAGAAACTTGGTGATCACTGGTCATCTCACCCCCATGCAGAAAGCTTATGAAGCAGTCCTTGATCATGATAATAAAGTAAGGATGTTTCTAGGACAGTCTGTGCACAGAGTTTTGCAAAGATTTCCTCTTGTTCAAACTAACTGGAGAGAATAACTAAGGATTTGGCCAGCTCTGGCCAAAGGGAGGTCACTCTGGGTCCTGAGCTATCACCTTGGGGAGAAGCTGGCTCTTGGAGTACTGAGCTGGGTTTTGGTTTAGGGGAATCAGGGCCAACTCTTCTGTTTTTGACAACAGCCTTTAGCTACACAGAGGGCTACATTTCAGTTGGCATCGGCCTAGGGTACAATGCCCATTTGGCCATATGGAGCAGATTTTCCAGCTCTCTGTTCCTACTGGCATATGCTTGTGACCCTTGGGCTTGGAAGCATCTAGTGACAGCTAGCCCTAGTAACACAAGAGTTCTTTCGAGGTCATTGGAACTCATCCGTCCAGTGGAGATCACTTACCTTAGGCACATTTCAAAATAAAGGTGAACATAGTATAGAGAAAAACCATTTGTACAAAGAGAAATAACTGAATAGAGCAGTAATTTATTCCCTGGGGCCTAGAGAGGTCTGGGGGATGTTGAAACCCCAATGCTTCTGCTATCGCCCTTCTCCTACAGTGTAGCATGATCTAGGTAGAAGGCATAGCCATCTCCTGACATTGGATTTCTTGCAACAGCTCATATATTAAATTAAAACACCTGGGTTTACAGTCATTCATAAGCAGTTAAGGGAACTAACTTACTCCACTAATTTCAAAAATTCTCCAATGTGGTGGGAAATACATACTGCACATCTTCATGAGAATAGCAGCAGTAGTTGGTGAAGCCATTGAGGTCATGGTTTAAGAAACAGTTGGAACTTCAGTCTATAGACTTTATTCCTCTCAGTGGCACCCAGGAGTTCTTTATTAAATATTTTACTATGAAAACAATAACCTAAAACAAAAAGTACCAAGTACAGATTGGAAGATCTAAAGATGAAGAATCAAAAAAGGCAACCACTTCCTAAATACCTATGCTTTCAGTATGATGCTAGAAGTCAGGGATCCAGTCCCACCTTAGCAAAAGTCTGTTTGGTTGAGATCAGCATCCAAAACATACAGCATGGCAATGCTCTAACAGTTTTGTCTACCTCCCCAGCCCTGCCACAGGTGTACGTGGCCCAGTGGCTTCTAGGAGGAGCCTCTTGAATGACATGTTTAGTGATCATCAGATTTAGCCAGTTGAGAAGGAAGGGGGAAGTCACTCAAGGTACTAGGAACAGTGTGTTCAAGACCATAATGTTGAGACTGAACCTGGTGTTTTCAAGAAGCTCACAGTAATCACATAGTTCTTTTTATGGACTAGGCCATGGATGTCTTCCATGGGAGAGTGGAAAGACAAGGTTCTTCCTACCACATATATCTTTGTAGCAATCAGGCCAATAAGCTCAGGCCTTGTACCTGATCCCAGTGGGAAACTTGGAACAGCATGTGGTACCCAGGGAGGGGTGGAGGATGGGAGCCTGCACGGGAAACTCTAGAGATGTCATGCTGAAGGGGCTAGAGCCAAAGATGTACACTGTAAAAAGTGCATCATGTGTTAAGAAGTGTGATGGAGTTCAGTGCAAATCAAGAATAACAAGGAGGGGCTGGGGTTGAGCTCAGTGGTAGAGCGCTTGCCCAGCATGTGTGAGGCACTGAGTTCAATACTTAGCACCACATAAAAATAAATAAAATTAAGGTATTGTGTCCATCTACAAATAAAAATATTAGAGAGGAAAACTTAGAAAAAAAAAAGAATAGCAAGGAAAGAGGGAAGGAGGAAGGAAGAAGGGGAGGAAGGAGAGAGGAAGAAGGTGGTGGCCTGTACAGCACACCTGCTGGCCTGGCCTTACAAACTGTTGGCACAGGGACAGAAGAAGGTGAGGCTGTAAGGAGCACAGGGCACCACAGTATAGCAAAGAGGTGTGTCTCCCCTGGAGGGTGAGGCCAGGAAAGCTGTCATAAGGTGCTGTATTTGCAAATGGCATCGCAGGCAATGGAGCTGAGACTGGGGGACTCTCCCCATGGGCAGGATAGAATTGTGAAGGAGGAAAAGAACATGAGCAAAAGAGGAGGTGATGGATGCAAGGTGTGCAGGAGAGGCAGGAAGACAGGCTGGCAGCAGGTATGAGACCTGGGACGCGCGTTAGTGAATGCTAGATAATGAAGAAGATCCAGCATTTACTAATGTGTCTCGGTCCAAAACGTGACATGCAAGGGCAGGACAGCTCCTAAAGCTGGAATGTAGTGTGACAGACAGAAGACAAAGCGGGGGAGAGGGGAGGGAGGGCTGAGTAGCACTGGTTCCTGGCTTATTCAATTAACACCCTCCTGACTGCCTCAGAATTACATCTCAGCTGACAAGGTAACTGGTAGTGCGCCTTAAAGTCTTTGCACCTAAAACGTCTTTTCCAGAAAGACTTGCTTAGCATGGAAGCTGAAGAAAAGCCTGCCTCCTTCCCTCCTCCTTCAGATCACTAGGGAAAGGAAGCCAGAAACCAGAACTCCCCTCAGGGCACCTACTCAAAGATGTTATTAGATCATCAGAATGAGCCTGTGCTCTGCTGTGAAGCTCATGGAGCACACAGCAAGAAAGCTCCGGGCAGCCTCCTCTCCTTCATGGCTTCAGCAGGGCTTAGAAACCAAAGCGCCACCTTAACCCCGTATCAGGGACATTCTGCTTCCACGTGACTCACCACACACTTCCTCCCAGACCTGACCAGAGGGGAAGGCTCAGTTGTGACAACCAGCAACCGCCCTTCCTGCTCCCCACCCCCACCCGCAGCCCCTTGCACTGTTTCCTGGGAGGGGCCAGCGAACACAGCAAGTAAAAAGGGCCTGGCATGGACACCAATGCCAGCTCTCGCTTCTGCTTTCCTTCCACATCTCATCTGTCCTTTTGTGCTGGTGACTGAGCTTAACCTACAGTCACCTACACAGTGACAACACAACATCCCTCCCGGGCTCTTCCCAGAGAGAAGCCCATGTGGAGGTGTCACAACCTGAAGTGTGGTGGCTAGTGAATTGGTCCAGGGACCAATTCAGGATGAAAGAAGAGTTCCCATCCCCAGGGAACTTCGGGTTCAGTCAAGGAGCTGCCTGAGTTCATTAAGTAAATGTTCACTGAGCACCTACTATATGCCAGATACTGTTCTAGGGCTTGGCATAAAGTAAAAATAAAACAAAAAGAAACCCTTTTCCCCATGGTGCTCAGATTCCAGTATTGAGTGAGGAGAGAACTTTTCCACACTTTATGAATAAAAGGACTGAGTCAATGACATAAGAACAAAGTGATGTTGCATTGAAAGGGAAGAAGAAAAAGAAATACTTCTTCCTGGAATTACGGAGATGAGGAAAGAGGAGTCTAAAAATTGTGTTAAGAGTTAAATAGAGCTGGGGACATAGCTCAGTTGGAAGAGTGCTTGCCTCACATGCACAAGGCCCTGGGTTCAATCCCCAGCACCACACAGACACACAGAAAAAACTTAAATATGCCTTTTAAGGTTCAAGTATCTATTTTCTTTGAAGGACGGTCACAGGACATTCAAGCATTCTCAGAAACATGGTACTTTATCTCATGTTTAATGACAATTCTCCTACCGCCCCTACAGAATGGTACTTGGGAGACGGCTATGGAGGCAGACACTAGAAATGCAAGGTAGCAGAGCAGGTGGGGTTCAAAGGTCAAGATAAGATCCTCCTAACAGGTTTATAATCAACTCATAGTAATGGTCTCCCAAGCTAGCAAAACACACACCTGCTTCAAACTCTTGTCATTTTTTTCTCCTTTGGTAGCTCGTCATAGTCACTGCCCTGATCTACCTTCCTCTCTGAGAACCAAACCCAGGGCCCTTGCCAGGGCCAGCCCTCGATCTCCAGGCCCTTTGGGCTTCCCCTGCTATGAAGAACCCTCCAAGCAGCACTCCACCCCAGTCCTGCTACAGATACACGAAACCATCCTCTAACCTCATGAGGGCTAAGGGCAAGCTATTCAGAAATCGATCTGAGAAGGAAAGTTTTAAAAAGTAGCCCCCAAAGCACAATTGAAGTGCTAATCATTACAAGTGCAATAATCACATTGAATGCCTTGTGTAATTTTTTAAATGCACAAAAACGAAAACTTTGCTTCCCTTGAGCCACTAGTCAAGTCACTGTATAATGCTTTTTGTTGTTTGGAATGGACCTAGAAATGGACCTCATTTGATCATCTCCCAAATCAGCCAAGCTCCTCTGCTACAACATCCTTGCCAGACAGGTGTGCAGTTTCTACGGCAATAGTTCCATCAATGGAGATCTTCCTCCAGGACAGACAAGCTGTTCATTTGAATGTCTGATATTTCAAAGATTCTCCTTATAGTGAGCTCAATTTAGTTTCTTTTTCTTTTCTTTTCTTTCTTTCTTTTTTTTTTTTTTTTTTGGTACTGGGGATGAACCAAGGGTGCTTAACCACCGAGCAACATCCCAGGCTTTTTTGTTTTTTATTTTAAGTTGCTTAGAGCCTCACTAAGTTGCTGAGGCTAGCCTTGAACTTGCAATCCTCCTGCATCAGCCTCCCGAGCTGCCGGGATTACAGAGGTGAGCCATGATGCCCAGCTTCAATTTGGTTTCTTTATATCCTCTACCCATTGGCTGTAGGACAGATGTGGCTAAATAAGTAGAACAATACAGTAAATATGAGTTTCTTTAACTATAAATCCAATCATTAGAGCAATGGGAAGAAGAGGGGGAAATAAATCAATACTTGGAGAACTGGAGAGCAAGAATTGTGATTGCCCCTAATAACAAACGATTGTGGATGGATTTTGGAAAGGAGAATCTTTTGGAACAATAATAAGTGAGCTGAGGATGAACCTGGGACTTTGAATGCGATACAGAAGAACTGATGGGTATCCAGGTAAGAAATTCTGCCTGTGGGTCAGGGAGCATTGCTTTGGGATTAGATGGCTGGGAGGGGAGCAGTTCCTGCAGTCCAAAGAAAGAGGTGGTCTTAGGGTGATACCATCAGTTATCCTGGGACTGCAGCGGGGAGGGGAGGTTGGTTAATAAGTTTATCAAATGTATATGAGATTAAGGCCTGGGGTGGGGCTCAGTGATAAAGTGCTTCCATTCTATGCACATGGCCCCGGGTTTGATCCCCGGCACCACAAAAGAAGAAAAAAATATTTATATGATTAAAATGAGCCCCTATGTTTGTAATTCTATATCTTATGTCTTAGAAATTAAATTCTTACATTCTCTTCCCACATGTGAGGATGACATTCAGAATATGCATGAGAGGCAGGCAGAGGGGTGTGGCATTGGAACAGAGTCTGGAGATGCAGTTCAGTGGTAGAGCACTTGCCTAGCAGGTGTGAAAGGCCCTGGGTTCCATCCCCAGCTCCCCTACCCTCAAAAAAAGAGACAAGAAAAGAAAGAAAGATAGGAAAGAAGTAAGGAAGGGAGAGAGAGAGAAAGAGAAATAAACAGAGATGACTGTTTAGACAGGTTAACACCTTAAACCTCTGGTAAACCTAGCTGACAAGGCTTACTTAAGAAGAATATATTGTTGTTGTTTATTAAATACATCGCATATAACTAAAACACAATAGTACCGGATACGTTTTTGTAAGAGAAAACATCCCACACTCATAGTTGCTACTATTGTAGACGGTCTCCCCCAAGTACTGCAAACACATTCTAAAATCCTCAACAATTACCTTTTATTCTGTTAGTTGAAACTCAAAAGAGAATTCACGGTCCCTTCCTGGACTTCTCCTTTGGATTTAGAAAATCACCAATCTCCAAGGTAGCTAGGACCTAGGAGGCAGAAAAGGTTTTAAAGATTATAGGATATAACTTTCAAAGTTGAACTATACACATGTGTGAGATGGGATTAACTGGTATAAGTCAACCTCTGAAAACAACAGACTGTCTCCTACTTTATCAGTATCCCTTATTGCCCTTTGACCTAGCCTAGCAGAATTTGAAATTGACATACCATTTCTATAAATCTCTAGTTTTTAAATTAATATTGTGTTGCTGGGAACGAACCCAGGGTCTTATGCATACTAAGCACATGAAGCACATGCCTTACCACTGAGCTACACCCCCAGTCTGTATTTGCTCATTGCCCTTTGACCTAGCCTAGCAGAATTTGAAATCGACATACCATTTCTATAAATCTCTAGTTTTTAAATTAATATTGTGTTGCTGGGAATGAACCCAGGGTCTTATGCATACTAAGCACACGCCTTATCACTGAGCTACATCCCCAGCCTGTATTTGCTCATTTAAATTATGACTAAAATTGCCTTGATTGAATCCACTTCAACTTGGCTTCACTTGAAACATTTGTTATTAGCTACTGCAAAAAAACAAATTACCCTTATTTCTGCAATGCATAGTTCCCATTCTTGCCCAATACCCACCTCGGTCCTGTGGCAAGCTATGTGAAATAAGCATTGCAAATAGTTCACCCACATATGCAGAGGAAGCAATGACATACACACCCCGAAGTAGATGCGCAGTAAGAAGGCGAAAGTGTCAATTACCTTCCTTTATCTGAGTAAGAGGTGGCAAATCTAATTATAACGGATGAACAAACTATTTTCCCCCAAGGGTGCATTGAAAATTTCCAAGATCTTGAACAAAAATGAAAAGTGCTGTATTTTTTAATAATGTAGTATTAGCTAATTCAGTTTGTGGATGCTTTACCGCTGTGAGCCCATCTGCTCCTGGAGACTGTCTCCCCTCTGAGGATGACTGCTTGCTTTCCTCCCTGGATGAGCCTGCTGCTCCTGCAGTGCAGCTTCAAAAGCCAAAGGTCACCAATCTTCCCAGATGATCAAACGCTAGGTGTACTACGGCAGGGCCAGCCAAGCAACTGAGGATAGATACCCCTCAGAGCTCCACCTGGGCTTCTGTCTTGTCATCTTCCTCCTGGACACCCCAGGATCTCCATGTGCCCTGCTTGGCAGCAGAATGAGATAATGTTCTTGCAATTTTCCTTTGTTCCTCCCTCTGCTTCACTTAAACACGCGCTTGCCTTAGTTTGTTTCTTCCTGTTTACAGCAGCAACAAAAGGCATACAGAAATGCACACACAACTGTGCTCCAAGTCGGAGAAGCTCTTTTTAAAAAATGGTCTACCTTCAAAGAAATCTTAGTAACATGGCCAACCCCCCCCCCAAAAAAAAACCTCAAAGTATTAAGATGTTGCCCAATGGACGGGATATATTTATTCATTTATGTTACAACTCCTCTACTCAGTGGACTATCAGCCATTGAAAATGAAGCAGAAGAAGACATTAAGACTGCAATACATAGCAAACACTCGTGAAATACCACCAGCAAATGGCAGAATTTAAAACTACCAAAGTGCTGATTACAGCTTTGCCAAAAGCATGATTATGAATGGATGAAACTATTGAAATTATAAAACATGTGTGTTTGTATGTGTGTGTGTGTGTGTGTATACAAATAACCAAAAGAAGGACTTGGTTCATGTCTGCTGAGTTCAAGGATTCTATGAAAACAGAATGATATCACTCTTGATAGGTGTAACATATCCAACAATTTAGAACAGGATGCTGTGAATAGAAAATATAAGTAAATGTAGGTCAAAGAAAGTAAGTGATCCATCCTTGATCGGACTCATGGTCAGGGTCTCCCCACTCATATAACCTCTATTTAAATAGAGCACTTGATGATGGATTCCTACAAAAAAATTAGGGGTTCTCATTATGAATATTCATTATCCAAATCCCTAAAGTTAAAAGTATGCTCAGAAAAGTATGCCTTCAAAACACTCATGTATTTCCTAATAACTGTCTTATGACTTGAGTCTCCACTCAAAACTGCATCTTTGAGATGGGCACGTTAGCACATGCCTGTAAACCCAGCGTCTCAGGAGGCTGAGGCAGAAGAATTGTGAGTTCAAAGCCAGCCTCAGCAACAGTGAGGCACTAAGCAACTCAGTGAGACCCTGTCCCTAAATAAAATACAAAATAGGGCTGGGGATGTGGCTCAGTGGTGGAGTGCCCCTGAGTTCTATCCCTGGGACCCCCCACCCCCCAAAATGCATCTTTGTTCAACATCAGCATCTATGCCTAATACTGCCAACGAATGGCTTGTACTCCCATAAAAAGGTGTGTGTCTGCTGCAAACTGAAACTGCAAAACTTGCCCCCAAATACACAATTACATAAGATAAATAAAACAACATTATAGAATTTCCCCAACAAGAGGAGAAACAATAGCAAGTGGGGACTGAGCAGTTTGATTAGAAAGCAATTATTTAAAAGAAAAATTAAAAGTTGGTAGCAAGGTAGGAATTTCAAGAAGGACTTTTATATTAAAGAAGTGAAAATGCTCCAAAGGAAAATGACCAACAAGATCCTCAATGTTTTCGTAGCACCTGCCATCTTTATGATGTGATGGAAATGTCAAATGTGGTAGAAAAAATACTACAATGTAGCCGGGCGTGGTGGCACATGCCTTAATCCCAGTGGCTCAGGAGGCTGAGGCAGGAGGATTGCGAGTCCAAAGCCAACCTCAGCAATTTAGTGAGGCCCTACGTAACTCAGTGAGACCCCGTCTCTAAATAAAATACAAAAAGGGGTGGGGATGTGGCTAAGTGGTTACACACCAAAAAACTAAATGTAGTGATTGAATTGATAGTTAAAGAAAACCATATTTAAATTCACATTCATTAGCCATACCAGACCTAGGGCCAATAAGTGGAAGACATAAAGAAATAGATTTGAATTTAGAATAAGAAGAATTTTTTAAAAATTTTTTTAGTTAGTTGTTGATGGACTTTTATTTCATTTATTTGTTTTTATACGTGGTGCTGAGAATCGAACCCAGTGTCTCATATACATGGTAGGCAAGTGCTTTACCACTGAGCCATAACCCCAGCCCTAGAATAAGGAGAATTTATAAAATGCTGCCCCAAAACCTTACTCCTCTCAAAACAATCAACACTCGATATTTGTACTCTTATTCTAAGAGCTGGTCACAGTCACACTAATCACCTAAATTGTGTTAAATGTTAGTTAAAATAAACTTATTTTCATAATTTTCAGTTGATTCTTTTCAAAATAATCTCCCAAGCTTTTTCTTTATTCACTATATTGTCCCCATTGAAGTGGATCATCTTAAGTGGCCTTTTTCTGGTTCTAATTATCCTGGGGTAACAAAGACCCGCTGTGTAATCTCCAGAAAGGATTTTCTTAAGTTTAAATCAGAACCATGGAGTGTATTTATATCATTTTGAGCCAAGTACACATTTTAGAAGTAGGAACTTCTGATCCACAATATACAATAAATACCAGGGAACATCGTGTTTTGTTTTGTCTGTCTGTCATGAAAACCAATGAATTTAAAAACCTAATATAAAATAAAAATAAAGATTACAAATGACTATTTGTCCCAATTCTTTTAAAAAGTGTAAAGCATAATGTATTTGCCATTCTGAATGATGTAAGTTTCCAGATGAGGCAATCTACTTTATTTAAACAAAACTATGGGGAAAATCTTCATGTGGTTGTTAATAGTTGCCAATTTGCATATCATGATTAGTTTTATCACGTGCAATTATTTGTGGTTCTGTGTAATTCCCAATCTCAACTTTACCTAAGAACAATCAAGTTGGCTGAGTCTTCCTATGTTCAAAATGTTTATTATATGGACATAGTTAATATGCAGGGCTCTCTAGCATTCATTTAGATAATGAAAGCTATTCTAGTATCATAAAAATACAAGGCTTCATTTTAGAAGCATCAATTATTCAGTGTAACAGTTTCTTCTAGAAGTGTGAGAAGAGTAAAAGAATATTTTCCCTTTAAATCGAATTATAATATTCCATTGTAGAAAGATGTTTTCTTTCACATTTCAATCTGCAACAGTGTTAGGAGTCCAAGTAACTGACAACGTTCAATCTGAAGCATGTAGGATAATATAATTTTAAAGATTCATTTGATGTGGACTCTTCAGCTTCTGTGACCAAAATAATAAACAATTTATGATTCAGTTTGTTTACTAATCCTGTCTCAGAGGTCAAGACCAAGCTTAATGACTCAGTGTTTTTGTCCAATTGGCCTATTTCTCAAATGAGTGCAAATTCATGGCTCAGGATTAGGCTGTGACTATAGTTCTTTCCAGGTTTCCAAGGACTGACAGCAAATCCCCCTTCTCCTCAGGGTCACCAGAGGATAAAGAACAAAGATTACAGAATGTCTGCCATATTCTAGTGTAGGTGCACACTTGAATTATCTAACCATTGTTGTCTAGGAACAAGAAAAAAAATAAAATAAAAGCTCAAAATCATCCTTTCAAATGTTTGAGTTCATGCTAAACAAAAAGGTGACTGCCCTGCTCTGGTCCCCCTCCTGGAATGAAATTAGCAAGCTTGAAGGGCATCAGTCAAAGAGCAATAGGGAGCTCGCTCACATAGGTCACCACCAACCTCGGATAAAAACCCCAGCTATTTCACATCTATAAAAGGAGTTTTCTAGGCCGGTTAGCTTCATCAAACCATAGGAAACAAAAATATCACAAATCTGGCTCCTTGTTTTTGGCAAGCTGACTTGCCAGCAGACATTCGACAACATTAAGACTGCTTTAAAAGGAAATGCATGCCTAGACTTACTACCAACCATACGCGATGATGTGATTAAGATGATAGAGCAGAGTGACTCCCCCAGGTTGGCCTGGGCAGGGGCCATGAGCCTCACTGGTGGCATAGCATCCCCAGCAAGTAAGCAGGTGGGCTCAGGAATTCCACAGATGGCATTCAGCCACTGCCTCCCTGGACCAAGTTTCATGACCTTGCCTAACTCCTTTAGTGTTCTGTAAAATGGGTATAGGAACAAACCTAGAAACTTCCTAACAGCCTCAAATGAGACAATCAGGTCAAGAGCACAGCATGGTGCATCACCTGGAATGTTCAAGGGGTGTTGTTGTTATAACAAGTAGAACTGAACGACTTTCCACTTTTCAGTACCTTCCGGGAGGCTGTATTTGATGCCTTCTCTAATTAGAACTGATCTTTCCCACCCAAACCTGTGACTAGGAATTCGTTTTTGTTACTGTAAAAATTTAGACAAAATAATGATTCAAAATGTACATTTTAAATGTACAAAATACATTTTTGTTCCTACCAAGTATTCCAGAACAGATAGGATGCATATGGTTTTGGCTCGATGATCACTAACACTGACCCAGAGCTTCTGATGTGCCAGGCACTCCAAGTCCTTTCCATATGAGAACTCTGTGAGCCTTATCGTAATCGTATAAGGCAGCAACTATGCTCATCCCCATTTTACAGACTGGGAAACTGAGACATAGACAATTTAGCATGTTGGCCAAACGTCAGGGCCAAGCCAGGATTCAAAGTAAGAAGAGTGGTTCCGGAGTCATATTCTGAAGCATGACACTATAGGACCTCTGTTCTGTGCATTTATTTGAGGGGTGGGAGAGAGGAAGGGAAAATACAGTCTAGAAGAGTCTCTTTTCTCCTTCTCAACACCACACACACACACACACACACACAGTTGTGAAGACATCCAAATATATTTTCATTGACTGGATCTTCAAATATAATCTTTAAATTTCTATTCACAGGGCAGTATCTTCCTAGAGATACTTGGAGAAGTAGGAAAGCAGAGAGACCTGAGCACTGAGCAGGACAGAAATCATACAGAAGCTTGAAAAGATGAAGCAGGGAGAGCTGCCCTTGGAGGCAGGGTGGTATATCAGACCCAGCAGTAATCCAGAACCAAGCTGCTGTGTGGGTCCCAACTTCACAAATACAAGACACCTATGAATCACAGCCCTTCTTCCCTCTCTAGTGACTGTCCCCCCAAAGCATTCATCTCAAATGCCTTCTAGTATACAAAAGCCAGGACACCCGTAGCTTCTAATAAAATACATGTGGAAATATATGTGCTTAGCCGGAAAAGTCCATTACCAACATTAACCAAAGTTACACTCATCCTTAAATACCTATTCTCATTTTAGAGGCAAAACTAACAGATGGAGTATTTGATGCCAAGCTACAGAGTGACTGAGATAAATAGATGGATCGGTAGATGATGGATAGATGGATAGATGGATGGATAGAT